GAGTTACGGCGGTCGCTCAACGCAAATAACGTACGCGGGTCCGTGTCTTGGGCGAGAAGCACATCGTTGTAGGATTTGAGCACGCGCTCGAGGCGCTGGCACAAGCGCGTCTTGGCCTCGAGTGTCCAGTGCTGGAAGATCTTGACCTTGGCAAGGAACGCGAGCTTTTGACTAGAAGTGTTTGAGCCTCTCGCTTTGTATCAAGGTATCGACTTGATTTCTTTGCGCTGGCGAAACACGCGACAGTCCAAGAACGCTTCCTTCTCGACGCGTAAGAGGAGCGTGTCTTCGATGGCGACGACGGTTGCTGTCCGCGAGCTATCGGGCGCGAGCATGCCCGCATCGCCAAACGAGTCGAACCGCCGGAGGCAGCGCACAACGTACGACGTCGTGTACGGCGACTGCTCTACACACAATTCGTCACAAGATGAATATGTATATATGGACACGACAACATTGAACACACCCGTGCCGACGCCAGGGCTGTTCAAGCACGAGTAGATTTTGGCGCGGTTTAGAATATCATCTAGCTCACGCTTGGTGTGGATCTTGACACGCGAGAGGTCGACAACGACGTTGAGCGCGCTAGGAGCATCAATATATATCCATATTGCACATTGCACGTTGTACCCGGATAGAACGCAATAGAACGAGTCGGCGGGGTCGCCGATCGAAAAGAGCACTTGGCCCTTGTTGAGCGAGACGCCGCGGCAGGCGCGGAGGTACTGCAGCCGCTCGGCATGGTCGATGTCGGCAAAAAAGTGAATGGATTGCACTAGTCACAGAAAAGTACAATAGTAAAAGACAATATTGTCCTTGCCTTCTAACGAGGCAGACGTAGACCGTACCCACTTTGTCGAGGAGCTCATAGTCGTCGCGACTCCGCGCGTACACGGATGTGGCCAGAATTTTTTTGGTTTTATGAAGCATTTGAGACGTAATCTCCTCCGTCCTACTCCGAGACAGAAGGATCGATAGGATAAGACAGAATAATAGACTAGTACAAGACGGATTGACGTACCGCTTGACGTTGGTCAAGTTGTCATGGAGGAGATCGTCAGCGCCCGCGCTCTCCATGTCGTCGGCGCCAAATCTGATCGCGGAGGTAAAAATAGGCTAAATGTGGTAATTCTGGCATCCTGCCACAAGTAAAAATTCGAAGTTTTGGATCTTTTTCGAGCGTAGCACTCGGTGGGACCACTGGCAGACACGTCGCGCTCATGACGCACGCCTCCGTGGCGCCGCAACCGACCAGCAACCAAGGCGCCAAGGCCTGCGCGCAGAGCCCGGAGGATGCCAACCAAGTCATGGGGGCTACGTACGTCGAGCCCTCGCTCCGGGCGGAAAGCTGCTTCCCGCTGGACGTGGTCAGCATCGTGCTCGCGTTCCTTGATGGCCCGAGCTTGCTAGCTTGCGCATGCGTTAGCACGCAGTGGTACGGCCTCACGCACGCGTCGCCCGTGTGGAAGAACCTCTGCCTTGTGGTGTGGCCGAGCTTGGCCCATGCGCTGCCACAGCTGCCGGGCGCGCCGGAATACGATGTGCGTACCTCGAGCTGATCGACACCTCATGCCTTGTTGCGCACTAGGTCATTCGTCTCTACCGTGGAAGCTGGCGGCGGTGTTTTCTCGAGCGCCATGCGGTACGGGAGGCTCGCATTCTCGTCTTGATGTGTTCTGTGCATGTAGAAGAACCAACGCGGGAGCATTCGAGTGGTCATTCCCGACTTTGCGCAGTGCAGCGCCGACCGCATTGTCACGGACACGTTTGCCATCAACGACCATCGGTTTTGTCTCTGGATCTTCCCACGCGGGAACCCGCACGAGCCCGAGTACGCGAGCCGGTCCATCTCCGTCTACCTCGTGCGTTCGTTCTCCTCACCACGTCATAACCGACTAACTCAACCTTCTGGGCGGCATTAGGTGGTCACGGATCTCGAGAAGCGGCTGCCGACATGGCTCACATGTGCAGTCTTTAGTCTTTGCATCGAGCACGCGACCGACCCGGCCAAACAGTACTTAGTCTGCGTCCGGTTTTCGCTGTACTCATGTCGCATAGCATTTTCTGGCATGCGTCGCTGCACGACAACCGGTTTGACACGACTCTCTTCAACTGGGGCGTGCACGCGCTCGGCGACCTCGAGACGCTCAAGAGTCCATCTGGCGGCTACTTGTCGTCGAATGGCGCGCTCTGCGTTTCAGCGCGCGTCCGGCTCATGAGCATGACGCTGCGGTTGTACCTCGAGCCCGACCTGGTGAAGTACCGCGGCCGAGGACTCGTACCGAAGGAGCCATCGGCCGTGGTGGAGGTGCCATTTTGCACCTCGTTGGAGGAGCTCCATGCGCTCGTGCGGCAGCAGTGGCCCGAATTGCCGCTCGGCTGCACCCTCTGGAGCTACAGCCAGAGCGTACTCACGGGGTATTTGCACTAGCTTCGATACGCGACGTAGTGAAATGTATGGATAGGCAGACGATGCGCCCACGCAAGTGCCTGCAGCCGTCGCCGGTGTCGCCGCCGCGCCCGTTGTTCGGCCACCAGCTCATCGACGGCGTCGACATGGATGCATACTCGAGCTGCCAGCTGCTCGTCGACCCGACAGGGCTCTCGGGCGACGTGCTGTTTGTCAAAGTCTTTCATGCCGACCGGTGCGAGCTCGAGTACGTTGGCCGCGTGCGACTGGCCAACTGCCCGAATCCCGCTGCGTTCCAAGGCCACTTGGCGTCGACGAGCGGCGTGTACCATACGTTCATCGAGGAGGTTGCGCCGGTTCTGGTCTCGACACCCCTTCCGCCCGACCACATCTTCTCTGCGTCCGACATTGTTATCCTCGTGCCCGAGGTGCCAACCCCCAGCACCGCGTTGTCGCGACTGCGGCAGTATCTCCAACGCGACCTCGAGCAAGTGTACAGAGAATGAGCTTTCTCTTGGTGCTAGGTCGATGCGTTTG